ATATAATATTAGGTGTCAAAATGTCAGCCAAATTTTTTCAAAAATTTTATGTTATGTGAAATATAAATTTACATACATTATCCTTAACTATTATTGAACTTTAAGGATATATTGCTTCTTGAGGTGTTAGCTAATGCTACCATAAAGCAACAACTAATGCAAAATATTTTTAAAATATGTATTCAGGATGAGAAGATAATTTTCTATAGTATATTTTTTCACTGATGTTAGAAGTCATCCACTATTGAATCCATTACATTCCAACGTGAAAGACTTCTTTTAAATAATAGACAAAAAGGCACATACCAGTGTGGGAATACAGTGATATTTCAAGCCATGGTAAAAGTGGCTAAAAACAAAACAAAAAAGATTTGTTGACAAAACTAAATACAGTTCCACTGGTAAAACAAGGCAGAAAAGGGAAGAAAAACAAAGCTGCAGATTTGAATAACAAGATATCTGAACAAAGGAATTATGGAAATTTTACTGTGCAGTTGGATGGAAGCACAGAGGTCTCTAAAGTTATCTCAGCTTATGGTGTTTCCTAAATTCTGTTCAGTACTGAAATACACAGAAAACTACTATTTTTCTGTGCATCAAACTAAAAACAAAAGAAAAAACCAAAGAACATGTATCTTTATTAGTAAACAACTTCCTTAATATGAGGAATGTTTTATGAAAATTGAAGAAACAGATCCTGTAAGTGAAATTTAAAAGATTTAAAGAAAAATATAGATAGTTCTACATATGATAATTTTGCATGAATAAGACTTTTAAAACAGTTTCATTTCATACACTTTGAAAGGTGAGGAGGAATTACTATAAGAATCTTTCATATCATGCAGATGTTTGATATTTATTTAGTAGCAAGCTTCTTTCCAGCAGCATGTTACTTATCAGATATATTTTTACAAATTAAATCTACTCTTTCCCTTCAAGGTAAATACTATAAAAATAACTAAAAACATTATTACTTCCAAAAAAAAAAAAACACAAACTTGCTAGAAGAAGAAGAGTATTTAGAAAACAGTTGAAAATGTTTCACAGCTTTGTAATTTTTTTCTGAAAACAATTGAAAATATAAATATGTCACATATAAAAATTTCATATTTGCACATTTTAAAATCACAGAAATAAGAGGTTTTTAACCTGCTTAAATAACTTTCAGGTGAATGGTTTTGAAACTGTTTTTCAACCACTTGCTGAAAATTTCTAGTTTGCTGAGGAAACCTGTACACATTAGGGAAGATGGACATTTATTAGTGAAATTGTGTTTTAAAAACCTTTGTATAAGAATGGATGGAATGGTAAACAAGTGTTATAATTAGAAACTACAACCAATAGAACAGGTTTCAAGTTCTAGCTCTAAATTTTGTGAGGTTTGGTGATTAAATCCCAATATTGAAACAAACTCTTCTTAGAACTAGAATTTTGAATTGTTGTATTACAGTGTTTAAGAAGAAATATTTTTAAAAGGAAATATATTCACTCCTACTGCTTTTGTGCCACTAGTGAAATAATTTTTAATGATTTTTATTTCTTTATGTTTTAAATTTTAATACAGAAGTAAGCATAGGTGTACTGGGGTACATGTGCAAGTGTTCTTTTTTTAATGAAGAGAAGCACAAACAATTTTGATAGATTCATTCCTTAACCAATTATTATAGTAATTGTTTATAATTGAATTTTAAAATAAGCAACAAAATTTCTCTATTTCTCTTAAAGAAATTTACACAAATAAAAATTTGTTTTAGCACATGTAAAATGAGAAAAAGGGGAAAAAAAACAACCACCAGGGATAATTATGGTTGAAATTTTAGTGTACACACTTTTAGATTATACACACACACACACACATGCATGCACACACGCATGCACACACTTACATCTTCCTTTGCCAGTTCATTCTTCATTTAAAATTGTTTCCTTTATACCTTATGGAATTGTTTATATGAAGTTTAAATGAGGTTTTGGTACAGATTGAAGTTTAAAGAAATAAGACTACAAGACTAAGTTCTGTTGTTACCAAGGATGGGTCTCCATATCCAGCCCTATGTAAGATGATCCCATTTGTTTCCCTTAAGTCCATTGCTTATCATTTTCGTGGCCGTTATCTAGATTTTTAAGCATGTGGTTCAACTATAAAGAGAAGTTACCAAGAAATAGTCTGACCAAATTTTGTGGTTTTCAACTTGTCCTATCTTCATGTGGTCTGTGTAAGGATGCAGAGAGATTAAAGGGAAAGATTTTGGCAAAGCTTTACTTTCTGTTCACCATTACAACAGTGTCCAAAAATAATAAAATATGGTTTATAGATGAGAATTATTAATTGCATGCAACAGGATAGAGAATTGAACCCTGACAGTGTCTATTAATAGAGTCCTTGGATCTTCAAAATCAGTTATCATTTAGAGGTGTGGTCTTGGACACCATCACATATAACATTTTTGATCAATGACTAATACTATCAGAAAAAAACAATCATTGACACAGCAAACGAAACTTATTTGGGAAATGAAAACTAAGAAGAGGAAGTCACATTCTCAATGACCAGATTAGAATCAAAATCAAATTGGAGAAGTACTAAGAAGTAAACAAAATGAGTAAGTCATTTGGGTGGGCTAAAACAAGCAAGGGAAACATACCAAGTTTCAAAAGAAGGAATGACTAGCTACATAGCAGCAAGTATTAGACAAGAGAACAGAGATTTTAGCAACTAACAAGTTGACTAGGATCAATGATATACTGCTATCCTTTAAAAAGCAAACACAACATTGTGTAATGTATTCCTTACTATAATTTACCTGAACTCCTGATTCTTAGTTCAGTGTCATTTCAGACTTCTAAGAGCTTGTTCTTTTTATCAGAAATGCCATTCACTGTAAGAGCAAATGTGAAGAACCTAACCACTCAAAAGGCTGAAATAGTAACAAGGGAAAAACTAATTACATTGTAAGATTGAAAAAACATAATTTTTTTTTTCCTTCTGGAAGAGATGAAGTAATTGAATAATGGTCTTTAAATGAGAACATACAGTATGAAGATAAAAAAGACTAATTGAAATCAGGCTCTTAAGTACCCCAAGTAAAAGTGGATCAGTTGTGCTCAACTTTCATGAAAGACTGAATGAGAAAATGAAGTTAAATTGTTAGGAAGTAGTTAATTTTAAAAACAAGTTTATTTGGTTTAAGGATTGGATGAGAATTACAATTGTAACAATCTGGTAGAATTTCCTTAGATTGATTTCTATTCTTCTGCAATGGTGGAATGTGGTAAGATACAGGAAGGGATTAAACATAAAATTTTAAATTTCCTGGTCAGACCCCAAGTCTTGTGTTTTTTGTCTTAGGCAGGAACTAAGATAAATAATTTGCCCCAAGTCTTGAAAGCTATAAAAGAGGGAGTAAGTTTGTAGTTTGTTCTTAAAACCACTACTAGTGTCAGGAGACATTTATTTTAATGAAACGTAATTACGTTATATTCTTAAATCTATGCGCAATAGTAGTAGCAGGTATCTGAAAGCAGACCTGTTAAGAACCTAGAATATATAGACAGCAGGTAGAACTTTAAGGAAAGTGTTTCTCTTTTATTTTCCTGATTATGCTATGTTTCTTTTAAAAATCTTTTATTTATTTTACAAAAGACACATTAACTACAGGATATTTAAAAGATAAGAGACAGGAACAAAAAAAATGCACCTGCAATCTCATACTGAGGGGAGAAAATCAGCTAACATTTCGACCTGTAGCCGAGACTTTTTTCTACTTCCTATGTCCATATAAAATATTGTATAATGTGATTTGAAGTTTCGTGTGTATTTCAAACACTTACATAGGCAATTTGTTTTAATATCATAACTATATTAATACTAGGTTTACATAGTCATTTTAAATGGCTGCCATAATCTGCATAATACTTTTGGTTATTTAAGTATTTCCGATTGTTCACTATTAACAACTTCAATAAGTAGCCATAACATGTTGTTTTTTCCTCAAGCACATTAAGAAGAGTATTAGAATAGAGAGGACAGAGGACTTCTTCGCCAACAGATATTTATTGAACACTGCATTAACTGGGAAAAAGAGAAGTGGTTAAGGCAAAAAATCTCCACTTTCGATTAACTTTCAGTCTCCTGGAATAGCAGCTGAGAAACGGAGGCGACAAAATGCTCACCCTCTCAAAGTAAATCTAAACTGCTGGGTTACGGGCCAGCGATAATTAATATATATAACAGGTTCTAGAATTTAAATCCCCAGTTGAAAACTGTTTCGTATTTTTAAAAATATCCATATACGCTAACTACATTAGCCGCTGTTGTGAAAGCCACAGAGAGAAAACAGGACCCAGCCCCAAGAAGCCTCCAGGGCCCGCCCGGTGCCCTCGGCGTCTCCCGCTTGGCAGTCAGACACAAACCTCCACCCAACCACTTCCATTTTGCACAAGCCTCCCGGCGGCCTGTGGCTCTGAAGATCAAGTGCAAGGCTGCTTAGCGCAATGGTCAGAGCGTGGACGGAAAACAAACTTTGTTACGCGTATCTTGGTCGGCGCCGCGCACAGAGATTCTGGGAAGGGACTTCAGGGAGACTAACGCCGCGCGCACGATTTTTTCACAAATAAAAAGTAGTTTTAAACGAGGAGTAAGGAAGGGGGGCCGCCTCTCCCGGGCGTGAGCACAACCCCCGAGTGCGGCAGGACGGTGTTAGCAGGTGGCCGACCCACGCCTCCCGGCCTCCTCCGACCCCGCTGCGTGTGCGCCCCGGGCTCCGCCGCCCAAGGGCCGCGTCCTGCACGCGCGCCGCGTCCCTGGGCCTCCCTGAGTGGGAAGCGGCCTCCGGGCCTATCGCCTCACCCGCACGCACCGGGAGAGCCGGCGCCGCGCAGCGCAGGCGACTCTGGGACAGCGTGGCTATCGCGGCGCGCCCGTGGCCCGGGGGGGCGGGGGAGATGCCGCGGGGGGCGGACGCGGCGCGCGGGGAGGGGAAGGGGTTCTCGCGCGATTGGGCGAGGTTTCCGGTGTTGTGACTGAAACCCGTCAATATGGCGGCGATCGGCCGCGGCCGCTCTCTGAAAAACCTCCGAATACGAGGTAAGCCTGCCGCAGCCCTCGCTCCTTCCCCGCTGCCCGGGCCCGCCACCCCTGGCACTTGTCTTCTCCTGGCTCTGGGTAGGGGAAGCGAGCTGGGGCGCTGGCCGGAGCCAGGGCAGCCGCTGCTGGCCTGAGAGCGAATCCTAACTGGGGCTGTGTATGTTTCGCACAGGGCGGAATGACAGCGGCGAGGAGAACGTCCCGCTGGATCTGACCCGAGGTAACGCGGGGCGCCGCGGGCGCGCGCTGCTGGGGAGGAACCGGGGTTGGCCGGGGGCTGGAGGCAGGGGCGGGCCGCGCAGGGGAGCGGCGGGGACTCCGGGGCCAAATCGAGCCTCGCCTGCTGGCCCGCGGAGCACAGTCGGACCCGGGTGCCGCGTCGGATCCAGCCCCTTCCCCGGACCCACTTCCCCAGCCTTGGGTCGCTGCTGGGCATCCGGGGCGTCGAGCTGAACTCGGCGGAGCCGGCGACCCCGTGGGTTCCCTCGACCGCCCGGGGAGCCTCTCACACCTATCCCGAAGCTGGAGCACCCGAATCCTGGGAGTGGCCGGAGGGAGGTAGGGGTTATTATTTAGGTTGCTGGAGGATGTTTGAGGGAAGAGCTACCACATCCTGCCCTCCCCATCCCCGGAGCAGATTCCGGACCTGCTTGGGTCTTGTTGACTGCGTGACTGCTTCTGTCTTTGCCCACGTTCCGGGGGAACTTGCAGCGTGGATAACTCGGTAGTGAGACGTGGAGCCAGTTATTCCTGCTAAGAGTCTGGGTTACGCTTCCCTCCTGCTTCCCTTTTCCGAGCCTCTGGGTCTGTAGTTGGCCGAAGACCGCCCCCTCACCGTGCTGCAGGTTCATTGTTTACCTTCTGCAGAGGAGATGGGTTTATTTACACCTTCGGAGCTGGGTAAACCCGGGTTATATTTTTAAGGATTGAATCCTGCTATTTAATCCGTACTTCTTCCATCAGCCACCGTCCTGGAATTTATTCTACAATATCTCGTAGAAGAATTAGTATTGTAATTATGTTCGAGATTCTTTTCTTTTTCACGATAAACAATTTGTTCTACTGATTACGACAGTCATACTGTATCTCAAATTGGCTCTAGCTTGTAGAGTAAATTGGTTCAGCTGTACAGTTTCTTTTTAAGATCTGTGAAACATTTTAGGAAGTTTTTTTTTTAAGTCGTAAACATTCTGTGTATGAGATCAGCGTATTTTTTACTCCATGTTGTACTCAGTGTTATGACATATGCAGTATTTGTTAGACGTGGGTTTGTTGGTTGAGGCTTATCTCTGTATTGAAAACGTAGTACATGCTCTTTTATTTTTTATGTCCTAATGTAAATTTACTGGTGTATAAGTGAAAGGCCAGTTTTGATTTTAGCTACAGGAATTCAGTTTTGTGACTTAATATTTTGTTCTAAAAGTTCAGGGACTTGATTTTGGGTGAACCAGGTCTTCTTAAAAGCAGGAAAGTTTGTAAAATACAATATAGTAGTAGTGCATGAGTATGGAAATGGCAACTAATTAGATCACTAGTTCACTAATTTGGAACTTTTCAGAAGATGGTTTTTGAGAATTAGTGTAGAAAGAGAAGTTACTGACTTTGGTGCAGCAGATTGGAAACTTACATAGCCCATATATGAAAAGTCTACATAAAATTATTTTCTAGTGAAGCTTTCTAACAAAATAAGGATAATTCCTACAGACCTGAACTTTAGTATTTCAGTTCTCTGACAGATACAGTTTATTGGTAATTTATATACAAGCATATGTGTTTTAGGTAGAGATGAAAAGAGTACTCACTAGGTAAGCCGGAGGCGAGTTTCTACATTAGAAACCTGCTTGAATGTGGTGCTGGAAATAAATTATAGTTGTACTTTGCTGAGTTTCTATCTAGAGTGGTTTAATTTGCTAACTTTAGTTTATTCTGGTTTTACTCAGGAACACAGATGATTCTTCTATATTTACTGTTTAAAATGCTGCATTCCCTGAGAGTTTAGTAAACACCTTTTTTCCAGGATCATATGAAAGTGCAGAAAATGTTCTTTCTACTTGCCTTTATAAAATGTAGTACTTCAGTTTAGAATAAAATAGACAGCCATTTGAAACTCAGTGCAAAAGCAATGCACAATTAAAAATGAGAAGTTATGTGAGAATTGTGTTTCTAAATTTAAAGAAGTTTAAAGTAAAACGTAATCTGAGTTATTCATTATACGAGGACATTGTTTTCTCTAACAGAAGCTGTTATTCTGACACACATTTCATTGTTCAAAGAAGGCTTGTGGATCTAATACGAAGTTCATGAGAAATTATGTATGAGTAATATTTTGAGAACAGTGAGGCAGTCTGGGTTCCAGCTGAAAGGCAGCTGTTTTGGACTGGATTACAGTATATAAAAAGATAGAAGTTTGGGCAACCAAAATATTTAATACCAACAGTGTTTGCTCTCATTTTAATTGTTTTTCTGTAATTTTTTGAGAAACTCCATGTGTATTCAACAAAACTCTTTATAACTGGAGGTTATAATCATTATATTCCCTGAAGGGAGCCATCAGTGTATAGTGAAAGAGGCTGATTGTGAAGTCAGTTTTGAGTTGTAATCTCAGCTATGGGCCTTAATAATTGTTGGATGAGTTAGGGCACGTTATTTGACCTGTGCATTCTCCATCTCCAAAAGAAGAGATAATTTCAGAGTTAGTAAGAATATGAGAGGTAAAGGGGGTAGTTTTAAATTAAAGCATGCAGCATAGGACCCTATAGTTTTGCGTGATGTTAAATGTTAGTTGCCATCCTACATTGTGAAATCAGGATTCTTTAAATCACATTGAAAATATTTCAGATGTGTTGACTATAATTTTGTTAACAAGGAATCAGAATTTCAAGCTTCTTTGAGACACTTATATTAATCAGGTATCTCTAAGATAGAACTTTTACCTGGGTGCATGGCCACACACGCTTGTCATCCTGGCATCTAGGAGGCTGAGGCAAGAAGACTGCAAATTCTAAGCCCATTTTGGGTGATTTGGCAAGACCCTGTTTCAGAATAAAAAGTAAAGGCTAGGGATGTAGCTCATTGCTAAGGCCCTAGGCTTGATCCTTCCTACTGCAGAAGGAAGCAAGGAAGGAAGAATTGTTGTGGAGTCAGATGTGGTGATGTCTGCCTGTAATTCCAGCTACTCAGAAGGCTGAGACAGATCACAAGTTTGAGACCTTGTCTCAGAATTTAAAAAGGGGGAGGGGTTGACTAGCACAGTGGCAGAGCATTTGCCTAGCATGTGCAAAGCCTTGGGTTCAATCCCAGTACTAAAAAAAATGAAGAAAGGAAAAAGTTCTTGATGGATTAATTTTGACCTAGTTTATAAAATCACTCTAGTAGATTTACAGTTACTATGGTAATTGTTGCTTTCAGTTTTGTTCAGATACCTGCTCCCCTTTAATTTGTGGAAGTCCCCAATATTTGCTATTAATTACATAACTGTATTTCATGCCATAATGTACAGTATTTTGAAACCCAGATCCTTAGCCACTTCCACAGCAAGAGCAGACTTTTTTAAATCAGTCTAATAGTACATCTTTTCCTGGTACTGGACCTAACTTGAAAAGACACAGTGTTCTTCCTGGGTAAGCCCCTCCTGGGATAGTGTTCAAACTGAATGCCAAGAACATGGACACATTTATATTAAAATGTAATTAATAGATTATAACATTAGAAGACCTATTTAATTTTATAATTTTTGATTATCTTATACCTTTACTTTTCCATTAATAAAATTATTGACTGTCTTTGTTGGTGTTATGTTGAAGAGTAGCAAGGATATCTGAAATGATAGAAATTTGAAAAATAACTTTTTCCTGATTGCTTCTAGTTGAGAAGTTACTTAATTGTGCACTTTAATTCAACAAAACAAACATTGACTGAACGTGTGTTATGTACCAGATGCTGAATTAAATGCTGGGGGAATAAAACAAAGGTGAAACCCCCTTCCAGAGTTTACTGGAACAGATATAAAGAAGTGATGTAGTATAGAACAATGAATTAATCAGGGTATACAAGGAACAGAAGTAGCCCAGTAGTAGCCAGAGGAGAGAAGAATTAACTAGTGGTTAGAGAATCAGGATGACTCTCAATGTGGTCGAATGATAAGAACAGTGATGGACAAAGTGTGTGTGTGGGCTCTCTAGGAAATATACGGCACCTTTGGAAAGGGAAAGTGAGTAGGTGGAGGAGTAGCCTAGAGGAATACTCATATAATCTGAGAAATAATAGATAAATGGACCCGCATAATGGCTACAAAAATTAAATTGAGTGTATGTTAGAATGGAAGAAGCAATTAATTTCCTTTCTTTGCATTACAGATTGGCTTTGTAGTCCTCTGTTCTGTGCAGAATACTTTTATTTCTTCCCTTCCTTTCTCCCTTCTGTTTGTTTTTGTGGTACTGAAGATCTAACCTAGGGTCACTTTACCCCTGAACTACATTCCAAGCCCTTTTCAAATTGTTTTTATTTTGAAATTTTATTGTTGTTATTATTACCATTTTTTCAGTACTGGGGATTGAACCCAGGACCTTCTCACTGAGTTATATTTCTAGCCCTTTATTTTTTATTTTGAGGCAGGGTCTTATTAAGTAGTTCAGTTGCTCCAGCTGAGCTCAGACTTGTAGTTCTCCTGCTTCAGCCTTCCAGAATGCTCCATATAGACATGTGCCATCACTTTGGCTAGCCTCTTTTTATTTTTTTGAGACATGGTCTCACTAAGTTTCTCAGGCTGGCCTGGAACTTGTGATCCTCCTGTCCCAGTATCTTGAGTAGTGGGATTCACAGGTGTGTGCTACCATAGGTGTGTGCCCAGCCAGATTTTACTTATTTATTAAAAAGGTAGTCTGTCTGATGTGAATTCCCTCATCTCCCACATTTAATGTTTCCTGAATCAAACATTAAAATATCTCTAGTCTATTTCTGTTTCCTCCAGATTCTTTACAAAGTTTTTTTTTTTAGACTTCATTTCTTCCTTCATGTTGGCACAGTTTTATCACATTTAGTGAGCATTTGTTACATCCTTCATATAATTATACTGTACATGGGGTACTGTATTAGGTGGGAGCTAGGTGGGAGACATGAAGCAATAAAGACAAAGGTTGCAAAATAGTTATTTTTCTGTAGACAAAAAGTTTAACTTTATTTCTTAATCATTATGATTTTATAACTTTATTTTTTAACCAC